GCACAACCGAAGACGTCAAGCAATCCACCTGAAACCCTAACTCTTGAACCACATACTCTTGAAGGGATTTCTTATAGTACTGATCCCTCAGCACTTTTGTCTTCGGCCACCCCTCGTCGCCAACTCCCCATATTTTCTCTGACAACTTCAAAATCTCGAGGGAATGGGAATCCAGATCTTTCGGTTCCCGGCGGCGCAGCTCTGAATATTGCTTTCTTAAAGCATATATGAGGTAGGACAGCTGATTCTCAGAGAGCTCAACACTTAGCATATTCTTGACAAAGTTGTAGAACTCTCTTGTGTAAATTGCGTTTTGGCCTGAATATTGAAACAGTTTGTGGAGGACTATTATTTCATCCCGTTTGCTCCACTTCCATTGGTTCCAATGCTTGCGGATCCTCCTCAATTCACCACACGTGGGTGCTACATTACTGCCTTCTTCTTCTTGCTTCTGATGAGATCTAATGTTTTCTCTTGCCATGGTTATGAAATACCTTACCTAGCTGTATGATTCAAAACTATATATCACTCCAATATTTATAAAAGAAGAGTAATCATATTATCATTATAACAATAATGCTCCTAGCTAATTGATAGTTCACATGACTTGGAACTTCAAACAATATACGTTTCAAAGAATATCCTTACGTACGTGGAACAGTGCTCATACTTCAAACATAGGAGCACAAAGGTCAAAACACTATCATAAATTCAACCATCCAAAATTCTTGAAGATTAATAGTACTACTCAAATTTTATAGATTAAAGGGGTAAGAAACTAGTAAAAAAAAAAAGAGGTAAAAGTTAGAATGATACCGATTTTGATTCTGATTTCAATTCCCAATTGTGTGTGTCGGAAAGTTTTTTCAGGGGAGAAGAGATGAAGGTGTGTGTGGTTTGGTACATTAGTGGAGAGAATTAAAGAAAATAGAGTGTTTAATTATTAATTATTATTATTATATGGAATGAATCAATATATAATCTTCTCCTTTTTTATTTTTTAGTTTAGTAAGGTTTAGTTTCCTTATCTTAGTATAAATGTTGTAAATAAAATAAGTATCAATTTTGAGTTTCCATTGTGATGAGAAGAGAAGAGTCAAATAGGATATCGAATTGAATGAATGTGATTTGTCCAAATCAAAGAAATAGAAATAGGAAGTAGAGAAATTTAATTTTAGGAATTTCTAAGGATAGGAATTGGATATATATGGATGGGATTAATTAAAGGGGCAGGATTTGATGGAAACATAAATTGTATTAAATAGCATCTAATAATAATATCAATTTTTTCCATAATCTAAAAATTTTACATTTTTACTTTTTAGTCTCACGGTCAGTATGTATTATATAAATCCTTTTTCCCCATTATTAGCCTCCCAAGATTTTATGCCCTTAGTTTGTGTTTTTCATATATATTTATATTTTTTAAATCACTATTATCTTATTGCAGTGTGGTTATTATTATAAACCGTTTCCATCTATAAAAATACAATGGCACGTTAAAGTTCTCAAAAAAAATTACATTGTATTTTTTCTTTTAACAATCTAAACATAGTTCATCTAGGGGATAAAACTTACAATCTCGAGATCTATGTCAATTACTGTTGAGATTGATGAGCATAGTTCAACTGTTAAGGCACAAATATCTGATCAAATGATCCTGTGTTCTACTGAAAAAAACTTCCCTTTTTCTTTTTTATTATTTTTTCTCTGCGATAATATATCTGTGGGAGAAAAACGTTTTAATGTTATTTCCAATTATGACTCAACAAACATTATCCTACCTTTATCATAGTTCCTTCATATATCATACTTAGGAATATTTTTATTTAATTAACATTATTCTTAATAATGCTTTTTTTAAGCAAATAAATATTATGTTTTAAAAGAATCTTTACTAAATAAACAAATCCCAAATTAACAACCAAATATTCTTGAATTTTTAATTAAAAAATATATCATGGATGAAGAACGTATTTGTCACAGATTTGATTTGAAAAATTTTCCATTTTTGTTTAGCTTGATTCATTCCTTATCTTTTTAAATATGGAATATATAATTCTTTATCCTAATTCCAAATCTACAAAATTAATCAAGGAAAGCACAATACGTAACCACTTTTTTGTTCCGATTTGATTTTTTTTTTCAAATATAGTTCCGATTTTGATTTTAATTTAACATGATTTGTTCCTTTTTTTTCGATTATGAATAAGTAAAAGTGTTGCAATTTAATTAAATCCGGAAATAAAATTGAAATAATAAAAATTATAAATTTGGAAACAGAATTAAAAGGTTAATGGTGACTATAATCTCGGCAACTCAATATTTTGGAGGAATTAAAAAAATAAAAAGGGAATTAGATATATATGGATAGAATTAATTAGTAGAAATAGTGGTAAATGGTCTATTATATATATGGGCCGAAATTAGATGGAAAAGGTTCATTCAAAAATAATAGATAACAAAAACGCAACTATTGGCATTGGCATTGCTGCTCTCTGCTGTGAGGCTGAAACCAGTTTCAAATTCAAACATCGGTATCATTATCCTAATTTCTTATTTTCTTTTTTCTTTTTTCTCTTCCAAGTTAGGTTTTATTAATTAAATATTAACTAAAAGAAACGTCTTTTTTTTTTTTTTTTCCTTTTCCAAATCTCGCTGAGTGAGTGAGTATGTACAAACAATCACTTGTGCTGGTTTATTGCCTTTCTTATATGCTCTGGGTTGTATTTTTATTGGATTTTGCGTCTATTTTGCTCATGCTTTAATAATCACCGTTGTATTTTATTTTTATACCATCTTGTTTCAAATTTTGTTGTGCGTTTGAGATTGATGGCAGAATTAATGGTTATGAGAAGGAAATTTAAGTATAAATGATTTTTTTAAAATCATCGTCCTATCGAAATTGCAGACCAAAATCAGTACCGAATACACGCTCTTTTTCATAGGTGTGGATAGTTCATCATCTTGGTTGATGGCAACAAATCGTTATGAGATCGAAGGCGATGATTCGGGGACGAACAGTAAAACAGGGTCGGAAACCGAAGACGAGGGTTCCCGAAAAATGTCATCCTTAAAACGTGGAAGAGAGAAAGACGAGGAGAAATGCAGCAGTCCAAACTCAAAGGAAGAATCAAAGAAATCAAAGAAGATGGGTTTTCATTGGAGTTGGAGCGATGAATGTGTAATCTTGAAGAACTTTTATGAATTTGCAGGTAAAAACGGGAGTTACTCCAAGGATTTTTACCATTTTGTGAAGAACAAGTTGAGTGTGGATGTCTCTAATTCTCAACTCTCAGATAAAGTGTATCGGTTGAGGAAGAGATTCTTGAAAGATGAATGCAAGGGAAAAATAAGGATGAAATTTTCAAAGGGCAACCAGCTGGAGAAGTTGTACGAGATGTCAAACAACATTTGGGGTTCCAATTCCAATACCCAAAATACCCAAAGTGGAGGGAATCAGTGGAAGGCTGAAGCAGTGAATCGGTTGTGTGAAGAAATGTTTGAACGCGTTATAGAGAATGTGAAGGTGGACATCAGTTGCATACCACCTAACGTTTTGRAAGACATCAGGAAAGATTGGGAGCAAATGAAGATGGCACAAGATGAATATGAATTGAAGAATGCCAACTTACTCCTTCAAATCTCCCACATAAGATGCACTCAAAACAACATGTAATATAATCATCAACATTTCAGAAAAGAAAAAAAAATAAAATTACTTTTTAGTTATGATGAAGTTGTATTGAGTTCTGTACTTCCATTTTGGTTAATGAAATTGTCTCCCCTCCTTATTTACTTCAACATTATAATTTATTATTGTAAATCTTCAGAATGTTTAACATTATCAATTTTGTATAAGAACAAATAAAACCTCCAAAATTGACATAATTAATTGAATGATAATTGTTGATGTTAATTTTTGGAGAAGCGTTAGCGTAGGTGCCACATACACCTTCGTCTTCAAGCTCCGGGTGGTCTTGCACACAGAAATCTAACAATCATGATAATTGTTGATGTTAGCGTAGGTACCACCACAATCCGCCGTTAGATGGGCTACCTTGCTATATAGGTGATCAGAGGCGAATCAGTTTGGTAAGAAGGTCGAAATCCGAGATCCTAACCTTGAATCATGGAAAGGGCTAGTCTTGCTGTGGAGCTGACTGTGCTCAATCAATCCACTTCTGCACGTTCCTTGGTTGTTCGACATGTGGTAGGCTAGCTTTCTCCCTCGTAACATTAGCCACTTTGTGAGCTTGGGAATGCTCCTCTCAGCTCTACAAAAGGACTCTTGCCTATCTACCACATGGCAGTTAGGAAGGCGTGACAGTTGCTTTCCTAGAATCTAGGTTGTCTGTCGAGCCGTCAGATAGGCGTCGTGTAGGATCCGAATGTCTTGATCTCGGCCGCCATTCATCACCTTTTTATGTGGACAACACCACCTGCTTCCTTGTTCTCGCTTGAGAGTTAGATCCCTTCCCGTCTTATTCTGGAGAAGACCTCTGCCTTAACTATCACTATGGGTGCTCTTTCCTTACCAGGTTAGTCGCATCTTCATTTACAGCACCTCTTTAACTCTTTTAGCTTTCTCCGCCCTATAAGATGGCAAGGATTAGAGTCACCGACATTTCTTCTCTTGGTGACGATCCATCGGGTGGGGCCACTTCGTCTTCTGCAAAAGGTTCGTCAGAAGTTGACTCCACCTCTATAGAGTTGCACCTCACCCAACTTAGATACAAGTACGACATTCCAAAGAATGTCAGTATGCGTTTACACTAAAAGAATTTTAAATTTTCCCAACCTATAAAACATTGGGAAAAGACCAAAAAAACGTTGGGAGTAGTTTCTCCCAACGATAAATATTTGTCGGCAAAAAAGTTGGCAGAAGTGCGTTGGGAAAGCACATTGCCAACGTTTTTTTAAAAAACATTGGAAGAACAATACTTTTGTCAACCTTTAAAAAACGTTGATAGAGCTGACTTTCTACCAACGTTTCCTAAACGTCGGCAGATCTACCAACGTTTTAAAGAAACGTTGGCATATGGAAACTTCTGCCAACGTTTTAGAGAAACGTTGGTAGAGTTGTCAAAGTTATGAAAACGTTGGTAGAAGTTTCCATCTGCCAACGTTTTTCAAAAAACGTGGGGATGGGTGATCTTCTCCCAATTTTTTTTTAAATTTCGGGAGAATGGATCTTTGCCCCCACGTTTTTATTAAAACATAGGAATATTTAGTACGTAACTTTGGTGCGTTTGAATTTATCCGCCCATATTCCCAACGTTTTTTGTAAAACGTCGGAAGAAATAGAATATTTCCCGACATTCTGTAGAAAATGTCGGCAAATATAGACTTTTTCCTAACATTTGTAGAAATGTCGGTTGAACTTATAATTGTCCCCACGATTTTATTTTCGTCGAGAAAAATTGACTTCTCCCGACGACATTTTAATGTTGGGAATAATTTCGTTGGGAAAACAAAAAAATTCTTGTAGTGTTACCTCGTGAGAAGAGACGATTAACAATCCCTCTCTAGAGCATGTAGGGTTTTATGCCAAGATGCTTGATTTTGGTGTCAGGCTGCCCCTCCACCCTTTTGTCTAGTAGTTCTTGAGTGAGTGCAATCTTGCTCTTGCACAATTGGGACCGAATGGATGGGGCACCTTGCTAAGTTTCTTATACCTCTAGTGGCATTTCAGTCGAAGCAAGGAGTCTGACACTATTACTATCGAATAGATGCTCGCTACTCATCAAGTGAAGAAGATGTCGAAATATGAGGATTTCTTTTATTTGCCCTCCCGCCCAAGAGTTGGTACTTTGGTTAATGGCCCCGAAAAAGTGGGGCTACAACATTGTTGTGAATGGGCCCTTGTCCATCAAGGATGTTGGGTTTTATGTCCTAAGCTCGTGTGTTTGTATTTAATGAACAAATTATTTATTCAACAAAAAGTTATTTATTTGCATTACTCATATTCCAATAAACTAAGATCCAAGTTTATTTAATGTAACTGTAATAGTATATAACTGATATACGGTATATATTTAATATACAATGTATATATTTGATATCTAGTATATAATAAATRTCAGTATATATTCGATATACAAGTGGATAATGTTTCAGTAATAACCTAAATGGTTTATAATACATGGATAAGGTTGGATACATTATCCTGGTAACACTATGGATATGACCCGCTTTGTAATAGTTAGAAACAACTTTATCCAGGTCATTCATGTGGAGAAATGCGAATGGGGGTTTCCTATACAATGAGTTTATATAAGACCGAACCGCAAAATTATTAATAATTATCAGCTCTAACACCATTAGCCAATAGATTGATATTTCATAGCATGACCAGGTAACTCGATCTTAATCTTGAGTAAGTTATAGACTCCTGCCTATAAGGAATCGTCATTTGATTTGTATGGGTGAGAGTGGACCATTTTGGGATGAGAACTCGGAACATAACTACGCAAGATGAAAATTCACTCCTTCCGACTTTAGGGTAAGTAGATGGTTCCCTTAAATGCTGACTCTAGGACTTGAACAAGGGGCTCTACCCTCTCACTGGCCCAAGATGGACCTTTGTTTAATGGTCGGACCATAAATCGGTTGTTCACTAGAGAAGCAGCGGTACTTGAGTTACAAGATTTAACTTAGGGGCAAAATGGTCATTTGACTCAGCTGAAGTTACAAACACTCATGAAGGATTGACTTGCCGTCAATGGTCAATTTTCGTGGACATAAAATATTTGACAGTGAGAAGAGTGTAACTGTGGGTCTTTAGTGGAGTGACCAACAATTAACAAATGTTGATTAATGAGTTTAATCAATTAATTTCATATCGTTGAAGCTTCTCTCCTTGCTAGTTCACAACAGATAAAACAAGGATCAAGAATTAGAAAAAATTTGAAATGTTCAAATTATAAGAGAGTGTATATAAGGTATATATGATACATTATATAAAGTTTAGTTTGAATAAAGATTCAAAATTAAACTATATGTTATGAGAAAAATATTTGAATAAGATTTAAATAATTAATATGAATTGAATTCATATTAAAACGATAGGTTATACAAGATAAATACATTTTAATATTATTTTAATTAAATATGTGATATTTCATTAAAAATTAAATAATTAATTGTTAATTATTAATTTAATTTAATTAATATTGAGATTTAATTAATTAATTAATAAATTAATAAATTAATTARTTTTTTAATTATTAATTAAATTAAACTCCCGCATAACTCTAGGGGTAGGGGTTGTTGTGACGTGAGATATCGTTAAGAAGGCAGAAATTGTTCTGCACTTTAGTCCCCCTCTGCTGGTTTTTACAGAAAACTCTCTTTCTAAAAAACTTCCATTTTTTTCTGCATTGTGAAGAAGTTTCGGTTCCCACCAAAGATCCTCACGGAGTTGTAGCAAGAAAGACTCTCGTGGTGGTGTCATTTGGTTTTACAGGGAAGAAGTTCTTCAAAGGTAACAAAAACTCATTCTCTATACTTTACTATTTTTCTATATTTTTCAATATTAAAAGAAAATCGAACCAAGCATTCATTCGATTCAACTGTGGGATTCTATCCCTGCAAAGGATTGGCGAGACAAATGGATTTTCGTCTCAAGCAAGTGGTTATCCCTGAACGGGGAAGGTGGCCCAATTTATGATATCTGTACAAGCTTTAGCGTCATGGGTAGTATCCTCATCTTTCCATCCTCATTGTACCCTTTGGCTGAACTGCTGTTCTTTCCTCTAGTAGATCAATCGGGTGAGGTTCCCCCGATCAACCAAGAGACTCCGTTTATCTTTGCTGGTGTGTCGCGCATCGTTAGGATTGATCGACAAATATACTTGCTCCTAACTCCTCTGAATTTTAAGGACTGCGGTCTCGCTTTTCCAGCCGTTGACAAAGGTAGAGGTCACTTACACACTTTTCCTCGCCACGTTGTTGTCGCCAACGCGTATATCTTTCTTTCATAGGGATGTCTCCACGACCTAATTTCATGAAGCAGTATGGAGAAATGAAGCTCTATAAAACCCCCTAGGTAGTTCATAGCTCGAGGCAGGTCCTAGTTTGCCTCCAAAGAAGGTTACTTGGACTCATGGCACGAGCACGCGATTACTCATATTGGTTCACGGTCACGAGTCTACGCGGAGGTTCCTACCTCTTCATCGAGGGTTACGACTTTGCATGCCGCTATTCTACACAATCCATCTCTTGAGTGACCTGCCTTGGTCTACCCGAGGTAGTGTAGATCATTTCCTCCTCCGCTCATCCTGAAGACCATGACGTGTCTCTCTTGCATTAGTTATCTATTCCTCAGACGGAATCGCCTGCTGAATGCTGAGGCAAGTTGGATCCCCAATCGGAGGAGGTTAAAGTGCATCTGCCATTCTCACTCCCTGTTCGTGCGGATGAGGTGTTTTTTGCAGCTCATTGCATCTTGAACACTGTCATTGGCGATGTGCAAAAACGAGTCTCGTCCTAGATCGTGGCTTCTCATAGCAGATGTCTTCACCCGTATTTGGATTTGATGGCTAAGGTAAGATCTGTTCCCATCCGACGTTGTTTGCGTTCTCCATATTTAATTCCTTATCTTGCTTTTGTAGTTGCTTGTTTCAACTTCTGTAGCGTGGGAGCCGCCAGTTCTGAGGTGGGAAGGCTAGATAGACGTCGTTAGCGGGAGGCTGGTCGTGCTGGTGAAGGCGAGGATCTCACGGCCAAAGTGGAGGAAGCCTTGAAGTAAGTTAGGTAGCTTGAGGCTAAGCTCAAGATCTCGGAGGAATTGGTCACCAGCTTGCGAATGGAGATTGAACAACTTTATTTCAGTACTCAGAATCTGAGGGAAGTTGAACAACTGCGAATTATGGATCGAGAGTCCGGGGAGCGGATCGAGAGATTTCAGGTGGCAGCCCATGACGCCGAATATTTGACCTACTCGCCGCTAAAATGGAGGTCGAATGTCTGACCTCGGAACTCCAGGTGGTCGGGAGGCTCTGGCGAAGAATACTTCAGAGGGTGGTCAAGACAGCTTTTAAGGAGAAAGCTTCCATTTTATCTGACCCCAGCATCTCCTGAATGCGTTCTGTCGATATCGTGAATCCAACCATTTCGCTCGTTAGATGTCAGCTGAGGGCTTCGATGTCACGGTAAATTGGCTGAGGGAGAGAGTTTTCGTGCAGGCTGACGTTTCGACCTTTATCCATGCATATGTTTTGAAGTGAGACATCCGCTCTACTCCCGCCGCGAGGCTGGATAACGCTGCTCTCTTCTATCCTAACGTTGTCCTGCCTCAAGATCATCCTAGTGGATATGACCACGCTTTCATTTCGCTTTTGCTTTCGCCATTTTTCTTTTCATGTTACTAATCTTGTGTAATTGATCGGCTTCAATGCTGTTCTTGCTTGTACTCGACTATCTAGCAATGATTAAGGCATTCATGATTTTCTTTTGCGCAATATTTGACTCATGATTTGTGATTTGATTCTTCCAATTGGCAGTGGTTAATTTTTACCTCAAATCTAGGAAGGCTGATTTAAAGAGGACACATGGGCTGTTTGGGTTGCGCCCCTTGTTAATATTTGGGAATCTTCCCTTGAACGATTTCTTTTCGACCTATTTAAGGAAAGAGATATTCAATGTAGACTGCACTTTTTTATTGAAACACTAGTCAGTATGTCACAGGAAGGCAGTCACCTTGCCTCCATCCTCACGTCTTCGGACGAGGAGGGGGTCGCTCCTCCTGTTGTGGCTCCGCCCCCGTCGATCTCATTAGTTCATCTGGTGCAGCTACTGCTAAGCCGGCAGCTTCGAATTCCACTTCAACATGCCTCCTTGTTCAGCTGATTCTAAGGGTTCTGACAGAGAAGTGAACGGTCCTCCAAGATCTCCTCTTATGCGTCATTTCATACGGTGGTTGCTTTGCAAGGCGCACCACGTCAAGAAGAGACTCTTAGACACCATCGTCCAATACGTTGAGGCAGACCTTCGTGCTGGGAGGCTCGAGACTCAGAAGGCCAAGCTCAAGGAACATATAGTTGGCCTCACCGTAAGTAACACCGAGCTAATCGCTCAAAACAAGGATTTTGCTGAGTAAATAGGGGTGCTAACTAGTGAGAATCTGAGGCTGCGTGAGATGTTGAGGGTGACGGACACAGGTCTAGAGATGGCCCTGAGGCGTGCGAACACTCCGTAGTGTCAACGTAGGCACCATTCACACTTTAGCCCTTAAGCATTTTTAGAGTTCTGTATCGACTTGAGGCATATATACCAAAGGGTCACCTTGAATATAATAAAAATCTCTCTTTTCCAACACTTATTTTACACTTCTCCTTCCGTTTCAGCGTTTTTTTGAAGTTTTTTTTTTTGGTGCAGTTGGGCCTTGATCTTAAGTTTACTTAGAGGGCAGTTGTTATCGTGTGACCACTTTAGATCGGTGCCCATTATTCAGACACACTATTTGAAAATCGGCCTCTTGTGATTTTTACCACAAGGGGGGAGGGGTTTCTTCTTTCGACTTGTCGCGCTTAACAGCTATCGTAGTTCAAAACTCGTTGCCCAAATCAATCTCTTTTTCTGACTCCAAATCAGTTGGCTGTCATGCTTAGAGATATTTTGTTCCAACTTACACCCTATTCAATGTGTGCGCCAATTGAGATCTTCTGTGACCAATTGCTTGACCGAATCGACAGTGGTCGTCATTAGAGAAATATCTCATTAAATATGGCGTCGATATGCAGCCGGTCGGTTTAATGGTTGTTCGGCTTTAAGGGCCATGCATCTGTTCCTCGCATATTGTCGGTTTGATTCTTGTAGTAAGTTGACGCTTCATCTTCCTACATTAGCCTTTTTAAGGGTGGCGTTATTCTTTCCTCCTCCTCACTTAACAAGGATGTCTGTGGAAGGTGATGGTCCAGCCTATGCAGTATATCACTCGCTGACCTTGAAGGGGAGGTCGACTCTACGCTAGCTCCAGCATTCGAACCGACAGGCTTCGACCCAGGGTTCGTCGAGTAAATCGAACTTCCACCATACCCTAAACCTTCAGGGCCAGACTCTTCGAAGATGGGGCTATTCGTTCCCCCTTTGCCCACGCGAAAGGTGATGCGCCACATTGGTCTGGAAGGCGTACCGCTACTTAGACAAGTTTTTCCCGACCACGTGGAAGGGTATCGGTCTCGCTGGGGAGGTCGTGGACTGGAGAGTGAGACTGAGGCGCTTCGGGCGAAGACTGCCATTTTCCAGAATCCCTCTGCTGAAGGAGATTCATCAGATTTCCTACTTAATCATTTGTAACCCACATTCCAAATAAATAAAATCTTGCTTTATTTACTTCGTTGTGTTTTACTTTTCCTCTTCGTGATGCTCTCCTTTTCTTTCTTTGTATCGCCTAAGAGTTGGAAGGTCGTAGTTAAAACTTCAAAACATTTGCATCCTTTGCAAGTGAGACGAACCTTAGAAGATTTAGTGGAGATTTAGTGGAGTAGTGGCTCCATGATTCTTTCCAACCTCAAGTAGTGACAAGTGGACTAGGAGTGGATCCACGTTGGTACCAGGTGGGACACGTAGTAGTGACAAGTGGACTAGGAGTGGATCCACGTTGGTACCAGGTGGGACACGTGCCCCTTAGATTTTAGTTAAATATAGTATAGTATGTCATGTAATAAACAAAATGTTGTTTTTCTGAGTGGTTTTGCCTTCCACCTAAATCTGAGTTCCAACCTTGAGTCACAGGTCTCACGTTGGAATTAGAGTTGCGCTTCCACTTTGTTTTTTTTTTTTTCTTTCTAAGTGCCTCTTTATTATTGTTTTTTTTTCTGTTTTTTTTTATTTTCATTTTATTCTTTTTCATTTTTGGCACATTTTTTAAAAATCATTCTTAAATAAATTTTTGTAGCAGGGCAGGGGAGTGAACTGACTTCCGCATCTCTGATTCAGAATGTCGGAAAGGAATGACCGATGTGGTCGGAAGCTCTCTGACTATGTTTGCGTGCCACCAACGATTAGGTGTACCCATGCCCCCAACTATCTAGGGACCACACCCCAGTAATAAATATTGGCATAAAGGCCAAAGGGTCACCACCGACTCCTGGGTAATAAAAAAAAACAAGTATCCTATTCTAGTTTGGCCTCTCATTTAACTTATAGAACTTTGGAGTATCTACTATCCTTGTACATGTATTCCCACGTTTGAGACGCTACCGAGTCCTTCGAACCGGCCAACTTTTGACTTGACCCAATCGGGCCGCATATCACTTTGTTGAAGAAACATTTTTTTATTTACTTACCTTCCAAAGATGAGAGTGCCGAAGAGAAAGATACTTGAAAGCAATATTAGAGATTGA